CCAGGCGCTGGTGCAGGGGCGGAGCAGCCCCCAGCGGCGCCCCCCTCACAGCCACTGGCCCCAAGTGCCTACACCCAGCGCTATGTGTTGTCCGAGGACCGCAGGGAAGACCGAGGGGCAGGTGAGTTCCTTAAGCCTCACCGTAGCAAAGAGTCTGCTGTGTGCCTGGCGCTGGTCCACGCCCTTTAGGTGGCTCATCAGCTTCTCACTACAACCCTGCTAGGGGGATGCTGTCATTATCCCAATTTTAAACCTGGGGAAACTGAGGCTCATAAAAGTGAAATGATTTGCCTCGGGTTCCACCGCGAGTGACTGTCAGAGTCAGGAACAGAACCCAGACCTCGGAGGCCTGGCCCCAGAGTCCCCACCCAGAGTCATCAGCTCAGGCATCGTTTCTTTTCTTCTTCTTTTTTTAAATTTTGTGATCGAATCTTTTTTAAAATATATGTTTATTGATTTCAGAGAGGAAGGGAGAGGGGGAGAGAGTTAGAAACATCAATGATGAGAGAGAATCGTTGATTGGCTGCTTCCTGGGGATTGAGCCCACAGCTCGTGCCCTTGACCGAATCCAACCAGGGACCCTTTGGTCCGTGGGCCAATGCTCTATCCACTGAGCCAAACCAGCTAGGGCAAGGCATCATTTCAATTAAACGTCTTGTAGGGTAGTGACTCTGGAGGCAGACTGGGCTCCAACCACAACTCTGCCACTCAGCTGTGTCATTTCGGGTAAGTTACTGCAGATCAGTTTCTGCATCTGTAAAATGGGGATAAAAAGCAGTTGCTACCCAAAGGTTGCTGTAATGATTAAGTGAATTAATATGCATAAATTGCTTAGAACATGGCCTCTGGAACACTCATTATTTGCTTCTGATATAATTGCCAATGCTGTGAGGTACGGGCTGCTTCACTATTTTATAAGTCAAAGTCTCACAGAGGTTTGGTAACCCCCAAGGTCGTGCTGAGTCGCGGAGATGTAGAGAGCTGAGTACACAATTTTCCACTTAGCCTTGAGTCTAGGTTATTATTTCTTATACAGCTATTCCCCAGGCACTGTCCTATGGTGGGTAGTGTTGGGGACACACTGAAGGTCAGACTTTGGACTTCATCTTGAAGGCATTTGGGAGTCTTAAGCAAGAAAGAAACACAATAATCTGGACCTTTGTTCTTAGTGTGAATCAAACCTCAGTGTTTCTATCTGTGACTGAAGAATCCTCAGCCCTGCCCTCCTGGAGCTCACTGTCCAGTGGGGAAGACAGACTCATAGACAGTGATGACTCCCAGCTGACCTACCCTGGGAAGTCAAGGAGGGCTTCCTGGAGGAGGAGAAATCAGAGCTGAGACATAGAGTGGGGATGAAGCGCTAGGAAAGTGTTCCTGGTAGAAGGAACAGCATGTACAGTGGCTTGGAAGCAAGAAAGCTTGACCAGTTTAGAAAATTGAAGTCTCCCAGTTGGAGAGAGGAGCAGGAGAGTGGAAAGATTGAAGAAAGGAAATGTTTTGAGATGAGGTTTGAGAGGTCATCAAAGACCAGACCCTGCAGGGCCTTTAGGCTGGATTGAGGAGTTCGAATGTATCCAGAAGTGCTTTGGGAAGCCACGGGAGAGTTTTGAGGAAGGGAGGGACATGATCAAACAAAGCAGTTCAGGATCTTGTGATTCAAAGAGGTTCCTTCACCTACCCAAGGTCACACAGCAAGTAAGTAGTAGAGGTAAAACTGGAATACACTATGCGTCCAACTCACAGTCCATGCACTTAGCAATTGGGCTAGATTGCCTGGCAATAACAACAATTAGTATGACTGAAAGTTAATGAGTGTGCCAGAATTGGGTCACACATGGCTTATAAGTGAAGGCCAGGCTTTGGGTTTTATTTTTTTTTTAAATATATATATTTTTATTGATTTTAGAGAGGAAGGGAGAGGGATAGAGAGATAAAAACATCAATGAAGAGATAGAATCATTGATCAGCTGCCTCCTGCACGCTCCCTACTGGGGATTGAGCCCGCAACCCAGGCGTGTGCCCTTGGCCGGAATCAAACCTGGGACCCTTCAGTCCGCAGGCTGATGCTCTGTCCACTGAGCCAAATCGGCTAGGGGGTGGACTTTATCTTGAGGGCATTTAGAAGTCATAAAAATGTCTTGAGCAGGAGAGAGACACAATCACTTGGGACTCTTATTCTCAGTGTGAATGAAAACTCAGTGTTTCTATCTGTGAAATGGCCCCGTTGAACTGGACCAGACATGGTAAACTTATTTTTTCAAAACCTGTGCAGCCCCTTCATTCATTCATTCATTCATTCATTCAGTTCAACAAATTGAGTACCTTTCTGAGGCAGGCACTGTTGTAGATGCGGGGAATACTGTGCAGAAAGACAATTTCCCTTCTCTTATGAAGCTGACGTTCTAATTATGGGAGACAGACCACAAACAATCCGACATGGATCATATATAGGCGGTTATAAAAACTAAAAAAAAGGAAAGCATTAAGAGGATAGGGAGTGATGGAAGGAGGGCTGCTCTAGACAGGGTAGGAAGGGTCAGCTTCTCTGAGGAAGTAAACCTTGAACAGTAACCTGAATCGAGAGAGTGAGCCAAGTGGATGAATAGCTGAGGAAGGCACTCCATCCAGCTAGAGGGAACAGCACGTGCAAAGGCCCTGAGGCAGGAATGTGCTTAAAGCTCCTTGATTAGAATAGTACACAGAAGACCCACAGTGTAAAACACAAAAGAGGAACTGAAGGACTGAAACAGCCTGGGGCTGCCTCAGGTGTCTTTATTGACACTGTGAGAGAATTGGGACCATTTCTCTCTGACCTAATGTTTGAAAAAACAGTAACAACATGGAGAATGCACTGTGTGTCAGGCTCTTAAGCATGTGCCAGGGGTGAGTCAGTGACGCCTAGGAATGGCCCTCAAGAAGATGATCTGTTACTGGGGCCCTTGGTCCCGGGCACGCACACACATCCAGGTACAGGTAGGGACACTGAGGATCAACGCTGGCAAATAGGATTTTAACTCTGGTGTGATGGTGCCTCCATGAGCCCTGTGGGAGTGGGGAGTGGGCCACTTTCTGTGCCTCGTAGTCAGTAGACGAAAAGCCATATTTTCAAGTGGCTGCAGTTCTCCTGTCCTCCTGAGTGAGACTCACCGCCCTCAGGCCCACAGCCGCTGCCCAGGGAGTAGATAAAAGTGTGGGCTCCGGAATCTACCTGGGTTCCACTCCCTCTTCTACCATTCGCCAGATCTGGGACACCTCTCTGGGCCTCAGTCGCCTTATCTGTAAGATGGGATGATAATAATAGCACCTATGCCAGAGAATGGCTGTGAGGACTCTGAAATAGCCCAGGAGGACAGGGCCTGGTCAGGAGACAAAAGGACAATGATGGGAGCTATTAAGAGGGACAATATCAAGGAATGTCTTCCCAAGGAGGCCACCTTTGAGCGGAGGCCTGAGGCGGTGAGGGGGACGGAGGGGGCCAGGCAGGTGTGTCTGGGGAAAGACCTTTCCAGGCCAAGGAATAGCAAATGCAAAGGCCTGGATGCAGGAGCATCCTACTGTGGGGATCAGTAAGAAGCCCAAGGTGGCCCTAGCCCAGTGGTCGGCAAGCTCATTAGTCAACAGAGCCAAATACCAACAGGACAACGATTGAAATTTCTTTTGAGAGCCAAATTTTTTAAACTTAAACTATATAGGTAGGTACATC